ACATAATTTAAAATACAATTTCAGAGGGTTCAGGCACCACCTAAATCCACCCATGAATCTCAGGTCAAGAATTTTTTTCTAATTATGTGGGGCTAATTCATCATGGATCAATGTCATATTTCCAATCAGATTGTCCCTGATATCTTTAATAAAAAATAGCTCTCCATCAAAGCAGTACTTTATGGGCTTTGTAATTTCTATTTTTAAGCAGCTTTACATGGAACTCCTCTGTTTACAGATGTAACAATTAAGTTGATTATTGGTTGTAAAACGTGCCCAATGACCTCTGTTCTTCTATATTATAGGTTTTCTCTTTTGAAACCCTTTCTCAGATCTTTCTAAACCTCAGATCTCCTATCCTAGATACAGACACCATCCCACTCCACACCTGGTAACAATGAATAAACGAGCATTTGTGTTTATCCTGAATAACAGTCTTACACAAAATTAATAAATATATTATTAAAATTTATATTGAATAATAGTCATATGGCTATATAAGAACTTCATAAGCAAAGTAAGTGTCCATCGATAGACAACCAGATAAAGAGAATGTGGTGGTACATATATGCAATGAAATATTACTTGGCTGTAAAAAGAATGAAATCTTACTATTTGTGACAACATGGATGACCTAGAGGGTTTTGTGCTAAATGAAATAAGTCAGACAGAACAAGGCAAATTATATATGATTCCACTTATATGTGACATCTAAAAAACAAAATAATCAAACAGTAAAACAGAAACAAACTCATAGGTATAGAAAATAAACTGATGGTTGCCAGATGGGAGGGGAGTTGGGGGCGGGGCTTGGTGTAAAAGTTGAAGGGACTAAGAAGTAAAAATTGGCAGTTACAGACTAGTCATGGGGATATAAAATATAGCATAAAGAATATAGTAAATAATACTGTAATAAGTATTTGTGGTGCCTGGTGAGTACTAGACTTATTGAGGGGATCATTTTTTATGTTATATAAATGTCTAACCACAACATTTTACATCTGAAAGCAATATAATATTAAATGTCAACCGCAATTGAGAAATTAAAAAAGTTAAAAAAACTTCATAATCACTGATTTGATTTTATTGAAAATTTATATAATTAAGAATTATTCCACACAAAATTTTGGAAAATAACATCAGGAAATATCCATTCCTTGATGTTATTCTCCAAAAGCCTATCTGTCTATGTCTATGTCTGTGTCTGTGTCTGTGTCTGTGTCTGTGTCTGTGTCTGTGTCTATATCTACGTCTATGTCTATATATCTATGTCTATATCCACGTCTGTCTATGTCTATGTTTGTGTCGATCTATATCTATCTACATCTACATCTTTATATCTAATCTATATCATCAATCTCTCTATCTCTGTCCCTATCTCTTTCATCTCTACCTCTATATCTATTAATATAATCTGATATATATACATATAACATATATATTTAATCTAGTCACATACACATATATGCATATAAACACATACAAAAAAGCCATAATAGATGAATGATTTAGAAAATGATTTTAAAATAATATAACCTATGCCACGCTTGGATGAATCAGCCACTGTTCTTTATTCTTCAATGAAACTGTTCTTGTGTACCTTGAGAATTCAAACATTAGTGACATTTTATTTCTGATATATCAGAAACCAATTTATATTGATTGTGAAGCCCAGTTGTTGGCATGTGAATGTCTGGATAAAGCAGTGTCAGGTTGACTGTGGCATTGGAGTCTTTTCTTTTTTAACATTATCAGAAATGACCATAAACTTGGAGTCAGGACATGCTCTTAAGGCTTTATATTGGTCACTCTCTAGCAGCCTTTTGGCAGGATTTATTCTGAAACACTCTTTAAAAGAGTTGGCATTCTCTGGCTGGGTGCCATTCTGCCTGCCTTCAGCTCCTGCTCCTTCACGATCTGCTGTTTCCCCCATCATCTCTCTCATCGCTATTTTGGTGGTAATGATGAAAAGATTAGGGGTGGAATTCCAGCTACCATTGCCACCTTGAGCAGGAATAAGATGCATCTGTCTTTTTGTACCTGGTAGCAATTACAATAATGAAGGTTAATACCTACTGCTGTTTTTGATGTCTTCAATTATTTTGTAATTCCACTACTCAGTATATTCTGATATGAATGCCAATATATTGCAACACTGCTTTAGATAGCTTAGGATATACTCAAAGTTGCTCTGTCTAGCTGTGGTTCCAACATGCCCAAATGACTTAGGGTCTCATCACTGTTATGATAATTCTATTACAAGGAAACTAAAGGAATTTCTGGGGGTGGGAAGGGGAATTTAGACTAAATTAAAAATATGTATTGCTTTTAATGATGCTCTCAGTTTTTCTACACAGCAGAATCCTAGACTCTCCCTGTTCCTTCAGTTATTTTACAAATTAAAATATGTTGTTGTTCTTTTGGTCTCTTTCTTCAAAAATGTATGAAAACTAGTGATTTTCTGAAAACATACACTTATCATTGTCTTTAGGAAAAACAACAATAAAACCTCTGGGGTTTTAGTGACCAGCTTTAAAGTCTTTCATGTGACAACCCCATATGAATTAATATAGGACCAATGCAAGCAACTGAATACCATGGCCAGAGAAATGTCAGCCTAGTGCCTACAGTGAGTCAGTGTGAAATACACCTCAGAAACCTACTTTAACGCTCAATTTTCAGCGTGATATACATGCATACATACATGGAGTGGGCAAAAGTAGGTTTCCAGTTGTGAATACATGAAACACAAAGTTTATGCTTGTATTATTACTAATTTATTTATTATTGCATTATTTCTTATTATTAACCTACCTTTGCCCACCCCTGTGTATGTATGTATGTATGTATGTATGTATGCGGTATTTATGGAAAATCTAAAGATTACTCATTGGTCCCCTTCTAATAATAAATATAAAAGAAGAAACCTTATTGAAAAATAGGCACTTAGAAACCCAGAGAGCTTACACACAAAAGGAAAGCCAAATATTTCTGGTAGTTAGTCACCGTTATAAATAGACCACATAGCAGCAAATCAAATATAACATTAAATAATCCTGAATGAAAGTAAGCATTCTGTAAAACTGTGATATTATGGAGGTTAGTTCATTTAAGGTGGATGTTAGAAGTAAACGTTCTTAGAATTTAATGTTTTTACTTAATGTTAAAATTAACATTCTCATTCATGACGGAAAGAACAGCATTATAGATTACCCGAGTTCTCCCTCTTTTCACAAAGTAACCAGATTGCCATTACACATCACTTATTTCCTGAGCTCACAACTGAGGGTGAAAGTATCTGTATAATATCTCATAAAATAGGTACAATTTTTCATTCTAATATTCTAACCTAGGAACAACTAAAAACATAAAATTGATCCATGGCCCCAAGTTATTTTCAAGCTGTAGTAAAAAGGGGGTGCTAAAAAAAATACCACCAAAAGCAATGAAAAATAAAATGCGCCCGCAAATTAAAACCATCATTCTCCCCCCAAAACAAAAGCCTGTTTCTCAGGCTTCCTTCATTATTAGCCAGTTTTTAAAAGAAATTTCCTAAAAGTCAGTTGCATTTGACAGTGGAGTGTTTTTTTCCTGGGTACTTCTCATGGCTGGCTAGAGAATTGTACAAAATTATAGTTCAGTTGTTGGACGGAGTTGCACGTCTAGTTGTCTAGCTCTACCTGCAGTATTGGTCTGGATGTGGTTGTCTTTAAGAGGAAGACCTTGTTTGGAGCACAAGTCAATTATGTAATGATCCTCACTGCTCACTGTCTAATGAGCTATGGCATCACTATGAAGCTGTGATTGTGTGCCCAGGTCACCATTCACACCTAAACAGCTGAATACATACTCACATCTGATTTCATTCAGCATTGACAGCTTTTCAGTAAATATTTGATTTGTGGTGCATGAAAAAATATGTTTTGTTCCATAACTGATTTTAAGTATTTTTAAATTTTGCCTGTGGGGGTGAATAGCTTGGTCAACTGATATGGCAAAACATGAACAATTTGAATAAAAACCCATCATAAAACACTCTAAGGGATTAGAGTCCTTGGAAAACTGATGGCTTTATGTTTTTCATTTTAAAACTTTACCAAAGATGGTTATCATAAAAAGTAATGTATGTATTTTAATAGAAATACATTGACCACATTCATAAACATGAGGGTATTGAAGAAAGACTAACGAAATGTACAGAGCTGTATAAATTGTCACAAATTATAAGGTTACCATACACTAAAATATGTATGTTTCAAGGGAGACGTAGTGGGTACCAATGGTAATTATTCTAAAGTAAAAGAGGAATATGCCATAAATATCAGAGTGAAAAGAACTGCTCTTCAGCATAAATACCTTTAAAAAGGTAATCCACCTTCCTTTTGATTTCCTTATTATATGTCAGTCCCATACTTGTCCCCAGTATGCTCCATTTTTAACAATGCTCCAACGTTTCTCAAACCTTCAAGTTGAAACTGTTGAGTGGCTTTTATCTTTTGCCTTAATAAGAAAGTGGTGAAATGAGATCGAGTTTCATATTTAATTTTGTATTTCAACCTTCTTTACCCATTATGAAAAAGAAGAGCACCATTTCATTGAGGTTAGCCTTTTGGCACACATTATTATTGCTTTTATTTTTAGAGATTTTATTTATTTTAAATACATTTTTATTGATTTTAGAGAGAGAGGAAGGAAGGAGAGAGAGACAGAAACATCAATGAGAGAGAAACATCGAATGGCTGCCTCCTGCATGCCCCTTACTAGGGATCAATCCTGCAACTGGGGCATGTGCCCTGACCAGGAATCCAGCTGGTGACCTCTTGGTGCATGGGTCAATTCTGAACCACTGAGCCATACCGGTAAGGCGGCACACATTTTTTGACCCATTTTTTTCAGTGTACTCCAAAATACATTGTGTAGCATGTCATTGGCGTCTTTTATTTTCAATATATACACTATGGCATGTCATTGCATTTCACTGTTTACCTGCCTACCTCCCTTTGCTAGACTGTGAGCTGTTTAAAGATAGAGATTATGTTTTATTCTGACTCTTTATCATCTTGCATAATGCATGGCATGTAGTAGGTGTTCAATAAATATTTACTCTGTCAAAAATGCTCTAGGTATGCTTGCAAATGAACATATTACTATGTTTTAATTTCAGAGTACAGTATTCTCTTGAGTCTTATTTCAGACTTGTGATTTAAAGGCAGGCAAACAAAGAACCCAAACTTATTTCTCTGTGTTAGGCTAACATGGACATTTAAAAAAAAATAATACAACACTATGATTTTCACTAAACTAGGAAAGGTTATTTTGGAGTTGCTGGGACCTTAGATATTTGAAGTAGTAATTACTTCCTCCATAAATGTTACCTTTCAGAGACAAATACTGCTTTCCTGTTGCAGTTCAACTTTTTACTTAAAGGAAGCTGTCTTTTTTTCACAATTCACCATGCTGTAATATTATATGTGGTCATTCTCTTTTTTATTTGTTTTGGTAGCATTGTAAAGCCAATGAAGCATCATAATAATGATAGTAGCTTACATTTATTCAGCATTTATTCTGTGCCAAACATTTCACTAAACACTTTACATGAGCTACGTCATTTAACACCCACATAAAATTTGTGATTTTATACCTATCTATCTAAGCTTAGAGAGGCAATTTTCCAACTGATAAGCAGTATTGTCAAGATAATAATGCAAAGAGAGCCAACTTCAATTTTACATTCTTGGTTCTTTAAAGTTCTGAGCATCCAGCAACAACATTTAATACCATATTTTGCAAAATTCTGGAACCATGAAGTACTGGTGAAGCACTTGTGTTATTATTTATAAAACAAACAGCATACGTTCAGTTGTACTTAAATACTATCAAGCCACTGCAACTAAGGCTCGAAGAGTATTTCTTCTATATTGAATGGATGAAATATCAACTCTTACCTGATGATCTTCAACGCTTCATGTTGAAACTGACTATCATTTACAACTTACCGTAGACTTGGGTTTGGTTCCAGAACTGACCACTGGGTTGGAAGATGGTAGGTCAGTGGACTCGGTGTTAGAAGACAAATTTACTGGAGTCTGATTTACTGAAATGGTATCTGCTCCACTCTCAGATCCTGACTCCAGGTCCTGTTAAGAAAATGCATTTATATGAAGGGCATGCACATGCTCTATGCCTTTGTGTCTGCTACCGTGTCACCCATAATCATGCATTATTTTGTAATAACAATTGTACTCTTCAAAGGGTCTGATTTTAGAAAGCAAATACTGGAGAAAGAGATAATATGCAACTTTGGTAATTTGACAGCTGACTGTGAATTATTGGAAGGGACCACAATGGGAGCTAGCTAGGGCACTGCAGTGAGTCAGGAGGTAGAAACCCAAAGATACCCCTTACTCACTGTGTGCCTTAACACCCTTCATGCAGCAGGGTCATTGTGATGTCAAATGAAAAGACAGTTCTAATTTCTCCTCACTCTACTCTCTTCTATGCTCTTATCAGACCTCCATAGTGACATCAACTGCAATGGGCTAGAATTGTTTAGCTCAAGTGTCTATCTAATGAACTATAAATATTTGAAGGATGAAATTATGCTTTGTCATGTGCAATTTAATTCCCTATTTGAAAATGAGTTAATAATAGTATGCACTCACAGAGTTTCATGAGGATTGAGCAAGATATATGCAAAGTGTATGTAATTGACACAATTTTCATTAAACATTAGCCATTACTATAAATATTGTTATTAGTAACTAGTACATACTACGTGGATAAGAGACCTGCTGAGTGAATGCAATTACTCTTTAATCTCTCCAAAGGCTGTGCATTTTAATTTCTCAAATGCTTTGTATGTATTATACAGTGGCCTGAGAACACAGAGGAAAAATGGGGGTTAGAAGAATGTAGGAGGAAGTAAACGCACTTACTTATTACTCACAATTATTATCTGAGAAAATTATGAGTTAAATATCTTTATGTCTGATCTTTCTACATCTCAGCTTCACCAAGGCCCACATGGTCAAATATTATCTACTCTGTATTCTCATTCATTGGCTTTATGCTCTACCATTCTCTTGTTTCTTAGTATGTTCCAGCCATAATTGTTGTTTTGCAATCATTCTGGTACATGAGCTGGTTTCTATGGCAGGGACTATGTCCTTTCTTGTCCCTTACCCAAGTATATCCCTTTGCTCTTTCTTGTCACTCAGATCTCAGTTTGAATATCACTACTTCAGAGAAATATCCTTTGACAATTCAAGCTAAAGTAGTTTCCTCCCTTAAACTTCTACAACACATCATTCTCTATTTTACAAACCTATTACCTTGCGTATCTACCACATATCATTTATATCCATCCATTTTCTATCATCTATCTATCTATCTATCATCTATAATTAATCGATCTATTTATCATCTCTATGTACCTATCTACCTACCTATCTGCTATCATTCATCTCTTTTTCTAATCTCTGTCTGTCTCCTTCTATTGGAATCTACTTATCACAAAAGCAGGTAATTTACATGTCTTGTTCACTGATACATCCCCAGATCTTAGGACAGTGCTTGAATCTAGAACATACTCATTAAATATTGTTTTATGAAAGAATAACTAGACTGAAAAGTAGTAATATTTAACCAAAGAGGAGAAAGATCTACACACTGAAAACTATAAGACACTGATGAAAGAGATTGAATACACAAATAAATGAAAAGATGCCCTATGATTTTGTATTAGAAGAATTAAAAATCATGAAAATGGTTACAGTACCCAATGTGATCTACAGATTCAGTGCACTCTGTCAAAATTCCAAAAACATTTTTCATAGAAGTAGGGAAAACAATTCTAAATATTGTTTGGAACCACAAAAGACTTTGAATAGCCAGAGTGAGTTTGAGAAAAAAGAATAAAGCTGGTGGCATCACACTTCCTGATTTCAAGCTATATGATAAAGCTATATAAATCAAAACAGTATGGTACTGGAATAAAAACAGACACATAGACCAGTGGGTAGAATAAAGAGTCCAGAAATAAACACATGCATACATGGTGAACTAAATGGAGCCAAGAATACTCAATGAGGAAAAATTAATCTTTTAAATAAATGCTTTTGGTAAATTTGGATATTCACATGCAAATGAATAAATTTGGGCCTCTTCTTACTCCACTCACAAAAATTAATTTGAAATGAGTTAAAGACTTAAATGTAAGATCTGAAACCAAACGACTCCTAGAAGAAAACATAGCAAAAAACTTCTTGACAATGGTTTTGGCAATGATTTTTGGAATATAATACCAAAAGCACAAGCAATAAAAGCAAAAATAAATAAGTGAGACAATATCAAACTAAAAATCTTCTGCACAGCAAGATAAACAATCACCAGCATTAGAGGCAACCTAAAGAACTGAAATATTTGCAATCATATATCAGATCAGGAGTTGATATCCAAAATGTATAAGGAACACTAAAATTCAATAGCAAAAAAAAGGGAGGGGGCAGAGTACCCCAATAGACATTGTTTCCAAAAAAGGCATACAAATAGCTAACACATACATAAAAAGGTGCTCAACATCATTAATTTTCAGGGAAATGCAAAATCAAAACCACAAGATTTTCACTCAATCAGAGATCCAAAAACAAAAAACAATGAAAAAACAGGCAGACATTCTATGGGAGCTGCGGGACAACATGAAACGTAACAATAGTCACATTATAGGAATGCCAGAAGAGGTCAAAAGTAAGCAAGGGTTAGAGAACTTGTTTGAAGAAATAATGGCAGAAAACTTCCCTAACCTGGTCAAGGAAAAAGTCACACAAGTTTAGGAGGCACAGAGAGTCCCGAGCAAAAAGAATCCAAAGAGGCTCACACCCAGACACATCATAATTAAAATGCCAAAAATTCAAGACAAAGAGAGAATATTAAAGGCAGCAAGGAAAAAGCAATGTTACCTACAAAGGAGCTCCCATAAGGTTGTCAGCTGACTTCTCATCAGAAACTCTACAGGCCAGAAGGGAATGGCATGAAGTATTCAAGGTAATGAAAAGCAAGAATCTGAAAGCAAGGCTATTCTATCCAGCAAGTCTATCATTTAAAATACATGGCAAAATAGCTTCCCAGACAAAAAAAGGCTAAAAGAGTTTATCACCACCAAATCAGCATTGCAGAAAATGTTAAAGGGACTGCTGTAATAATAATAAGAAATAGAGAGAGAAACATAGGCATAAAGAATTAAAATGGCAATAAATAAGGACCTATCAATAATAATCTTAAGGACTTTAAGGGAGAGGTCAACAGCAATATAGCCACAGTCCTGGACTTTAACACCCCACTGACTTCACTGGATAGATCTTCCAGACAAAAAGTCAACACAGAAACAGTGACTCTAAATGGCACACTAGATCAGATGTATTTAATTGATATTTATAGAACATTTCACTCCAAAGCTGCAGAATATTCATTCCTCTCAAGTGCACATGGGTCATGCTCAAAGACAGACCATATGTTAGGACACAAGTCTACAAGTTCAAGAAGATGGAAATCATATCAAGCATCTCAGATCACAAGGGCATGAAATTAGAAATCAACTACAGTACAAACACTTCAAAACATTCAAACACATGGAGGCTAAATAGCATATTATCAAGCAATGAATGGGTTACCAATAAGATCAATAAAGAAATAAAAAATTTCCTAGAAACAAATGAAAATGAAAACATAACCCAAAATCTATGGAACACAGTGAAAGCAGTCCTAAGAGGGAAGTTCATAGCACTGCAGGCCTACCTCAAAAAGCAAGAAGTTTTTTTAGTAAACTATTTTACCCTACAACTTAAAGAATTAGAAAACTGCCCTATGAAGCCATCCAGACCAGGGCTTTGGTTTTCTGATTCTTCCTGATTCAGTTTTACATGATCTCACTCATATGTGGAATCTAATAAAATAGACCGAGGAACAAAAAATATCCAGAGACACAGAAGCAAGGAACAGGCTGGGGAATCTCAGTGGGAAGGGAGGGGGGGGGAGTAGGTGGGAAGAGATTAATCAAAGAACTTATATGCACATATGCATAACCCATGGACACAGACAATAGTGTGGTGAAGGCCTGGTTGGGGGAGGGCTGATGCATGGTGGAAGGAATCAATGGGGAAACAAAAGGGAGATATCTGTAATACTTTCAATAATAAAGATAAATTACAAAAAACCCACAATGAGATATCACCTCTCACCGGTTAAAATGGCTATTATCAAAAAGGCAAGTAATAACTAGTGTTTATGGGGGCTTGGAGAAAAGGGAACCTTGTGCACTGTTGGCGAGAGTGTAAATTGGTATAGCCACTATGGGAAACAATACGGAGGTTTTTAAAAAATAAAAAATAGAGCTGTCATATGGTTTAGCAATCACACTTGTGGGTATTTATCCAAGGAAAACAACGTCCCTGTTTGAATAGATATCTGCATGGAAACAACCTAAGTGTCCACTGATAGATGAATAGATAAAGAAGATGTGATACATACAATGGAATATTATATATATACAGGTACATACAATAAAATATTTAGCCATAGAAAAGAAGAAAATCCTGCTCTTCTGAGAACATGATAGAACTTGAAATCATTATGCCATGATATAAGTCAGACAGAAGCAAAAATACTGTGTTATCTCACTTATATGTAGACTCTAAAAAAAAGCCTAACTCATAGGACAGAGTGGAATGATGGTTTCCAGGGGCAGAGGAGGGGAGTGGAAGGGGAGATGTTGACCAGAGGGTACTAATTTCCAGTTATAAGATATATGAGTTCTGGGGATCTAATACTCAGTATGGTGACTATAGTTAACAATACTGTTTTATATACTTGAAAGTTGCTAATAGAGTAGATTTTAAATGTTCTCAACACCCACACACATACACACAATTGTAATGATATGATGTGATGACTCTGTGAACTAACCTTGTGGTTTATAGCGGTAATCATTTTGCAATATAGAAGTGTACCAAATCATCACACTGTATACCTTAAGTGTACACAAGGTTGTATGTCAATTATATCTCAATAAAGTGGCAAAAAAGAAAAGAGTGGGATACAAAAATAAAAAAGGAGAAAAAAAGACATATACAACAATAATGAATATAAAAAGGAATCTACGTTCTTTAAGCATGTGTGTGTGTATATGTGTGTGTGTGTAAACTACATGACACTAACCAAATTCCTCATGCCCTGAGTGATCTCAGATCAGTGGTCATCTATTCTTTTTCTGCATGGAAAAGACAACACTTTACCATAAGAGAAATGTGATTCATTAACATTTCAAACTGAAGCATCATCAAATGAATAGTCGCAAAGAACAAGAAATTTATAGACATCAAGTGCATAGTTATAAGTAGCAGGTAATTCATGAGCCATTTACACTTGACCTTCATGCACTTCAGAAATCTTTTGCATTAATTTTAGCTTGCTGTTTATGATCTGATTAGGTAAATAACAGGGTGACCTTGTATCTTTCCAACAATATGGTAATTCTGAATAAAATAATAAATACTTTAAAAATCTACCACTTATGTATTTTTACCTTTTAAAGACAACACTTTACAGCTATTCTCTGCTTCAGTTTTCACCAGCTCCATATAGAAGATAATGTATCATTATCATTTGATAGGTGATGAAGCCAAGGTTTAAGGCAAGGCACTTGACCAAATCCACATTCTGCGGCAGAGCTAGCACTAAAGCTCAGATCTATTTCACCCCAACTTGTTAGGCTCTATCCAAACAGCCTTCATAAGTCTTTACCTCAATCTTTATTTTAATATATATTTTTTTCACCTTAAAGACATTTTTAAAGACTCCAGCCTATATTATCCCTTAAATAGTTCATTGTAAGTAGGACTCTCTCCAGCATTTTCTCCTAAGTAATCTCAATCTGAGGTCACTGTTTCACTGTGTGTCTTGTCCTCCCTACTGAACTGTAAATTCACAGTGCAGGATGAGGGTGCGGCAGAGGGAGTTTCTCCGAATCTGGGACAGTGCTTCTTGGTGGACAATCAAGGTCATAATCATTCTGTTATAATCCCTTTATTCCTTGGCGCAATTATCAAAAGTAATGGAAAGTGCCTGTGGAAAATATTTTGATGATGAGAGAATTTTAAAATTAGCTTTAAATACCATGGAACAGAAATAAAGAACAAGGGATGACCTAAAAAAACCCATAGAGACCAAAAAGCAGTTTTGAGGGCTGCAGGATAGGTTTTATTCATCTTTAGCCAGCATCTGGGATGAGTGAGTACATGGGAGACGGAAAGGGAGTTAACAAACACCAAGTTGTACTCTCTGCCCTCTCTGCCAGCTCTGTGCAATACATCTCACATACGTTCTTTCATTGATTCCTCCCAACAAGCCATTAGGTAGCAAACAACATCTCCTTTTTCACACAAATGTAAAGGTGAAAAATTAAACAATTTTCTTGTGTTCTCAGATATTCAGTTGTAGAACTGCCATTTGGACCCAGGCCTGTAGATCCCAATGTTCATAACGTTTCTACTATATAATCTTGCCTTTTCTGAGTATTTTTTGAACTGAAAACTTGGAAATAGATCTTTATTTACAGAATGAACCCTTATTCGGCAATGGTAGCAATAGTCTAGGAGATAGTTCATGTAATACAAAATCTAGTTTATACCTTAAAAGGAGGCAGAAAATTCCAAAATCATCACCCACATTTGCTCCTGTTTTTGTTTGTCTTTACCATTCAACACAGAAGCATGTCTCACAGGTTAAGGGCTATCTTGTTCTCTGCCATGAAGTCAACAATATGGAGTTGTATTTAGCAGAAATTGGGGCTGTGGTTTTCTCCTACATACTTGGGGATTGAGAAAAATTCAATGTAGAGGGAAAAGTGGGGAGACTAAAGAGATAGGGAGAGAGATGAACAATTCACACCGAACAATTAAACAAGAGAAAATGTGTCCTATGCCTAAATTAATAGCAAAAAGTACTAAGGAGTACCTCCTATTGAAAAAATATGATTTTTCCTGGCTTCAAAAAGATTGAAGAAGATGACTACGACACTTCTACACCCCCTTCATATGAAAACAAATTTAAACACCCCTTCTTGTTGGTCTGGACTGCATTTCCTCCGTATTGATACCTGTCCTACCGAAAACATGTGCAGGCACCATGGCAACACCAGGGAAGGATTAATTGACTCTGTCTGGGAAGACAGAGGAGATTTAGGGACGACTGCACTGTAAAGAAAATATTTGAGATGAATCTGGAAAGATAAGAAAAGATTATCCAGAAGGTTACAAACAAAACCAAAAATTTCATTTCTACTGGCTTTCTAGGTTGAAGTATTTAATTTCATATTCACTTTTAATTATTATTTTTTGTTCAAGCTATTAGATTTCCATCATAGTCAGCTAGAGAAAACAGTATGGTGTACTGGTCACATGCCATGGCTCTGGATCAGGACTGGCTGGGCTTATATCTCATCTTTGGCACATATAATTACTAACTTCTCTATGCATTTTACTCACTTGAAAAATGTTGTGAGGAATAAATGTGTTAACATATGTAAAGAACTTATAATACTACTCAGTATATACTAAAGTTATTATTTTATTTACTTTGAAACATTCTGTCCCACAATCAGTATGAGTCTTGAATAACTACAGAATCAATGGTAGAACTATACTAATTAAAGGACTTGATATAGAATAGTTCTATTTTGATAGGTGGTCAAATTTATATATAGGATTTTCTGCCCCTTTGGTCTTAGGCAAATACATAATTTCTTGACTTAATGTGTTCATTATTGTATAATGAAAGTAACAGATTAATTGAAAAGGGATGCCTGGCATAATTACAAATACATTCTAACATCACATTTGCTAAATCTGCAAAAACTAAGCCATTTAATATGGAGCTGATATTAAATATGTAAAGTGTATAGTCAGTCTGGAATCTTTCAAATTTTGAGCGTCAGAATCTCTGAGGAGTGTGTCTTATATAAAATTAATGCACAGTAGAATAAAATTCTCACCTCTGTCCTATTAATTGCATTTCACTGAGTTAATTTTAGTGTTCTCAAATTAATCTAAATTCTTTCTTGTAGTATTCTCGGTCAGTCCACCCATCCACCCATCCACCCTGCCAGCCAGCAAATATTTCCGAATCATCTTCCACATGCAATGTAAATTTGCAGACACTGGAAATAAAATACTGAATAAGATAGACATAGCATTGCTATGGTGTTTATAGCATATCATTGAGTACTGATAATGAGAGAAACAACCATGTGAAGATGATTTGATCACTAGGAAGCATAATTTCCCAGGGTGACCCTCTTTCTAACTAATAAAAACCATTTTCTTTTGAATCACACATTTCTCTTACAGGCTCTGCATGAAACAGAGAAGTATTTGAGTGAGTTTTATGGAACACTTTCAGGGTCACATATGGGTAGATGCTGCCATCAAAGATGTTTCATGTACGGAGTAAAGAGATAACATGCTCATGGGGAATAAGTGGAAGAAGGCTCACAGGCATGTGCCGCCGCAGGTTGGTTGGTGTGCTGGATGGAGAGGAGCTGGTGCTGAGAGCGTTCTCAATGTCCTGGTCAAGTTGGTCCAGTTTCATAATTAGCAGCACCATGGAGTCCAGCCGCGCCCTATCTCGGTCTTTTATTTCCTGAGGAACAGAACAAGTTGTTATGAATCTGAAAGGCCGTTTCTTGGAAAGAATAAGAAGTGCCCTGTTCTTCAATGTGACAAAAAGGACACTGAATAATAGGCAGTCTTCTAGTTAAGGGGAAAGGGAAGTTCTGTTCTGCGTCCTCAATGGGCTCTTCATTGGGAAGATGCTAACCGACTGCCAAGACAGCAGACAGCATTTTACATGAATATTAAATACATTATCTTCTAGAGCAAAGCACAGCGAGAAGGAAGCATAACATCAATGAGCACTGATACATATTTACGACTTTCCAATTAACTATTCTTGGGAAAAGTTATATATTACTAGTCACAGTACAAATCAATTGTAACATTAATGACATTATTTGTGGTTAGACATTTAAAGATACGTGTAAGAGATTATTTTGGGGAGAATACTTCTGAGTATAGTAAGAAAATGGGAAATGAATCAAATGAGGCAAGTTTTCAGTTTGTTGTTGTCTTCTGGATGGGGCCATTTTCCTACTGCTGCTTCAAGCTTTTATTGCCAATAATTCTTTGCAACCACTTTCTTTCATAAACTTTTGAAAAAAGCCCACACGATCACATATATTTTTGTAAATTAGGCTGGTTACTCATTCTGAATTCTCTGTAATATAGACATACATTATGTTTATGCAAATACTGTTGCTTATAGAAATAGCTAAACCTTCTCATTAACCATATAGAGTTATTTGGGCATGGCTGTTTACTATTCTTGTGTCTTCAAATCAAGTCAATTAATATTAGAAATCTTCCAAATTCCTTGTGTGTTGTGTAAGGTACCAGGGCTGGGTAGGTTATTGAGTGAAAAAAAAAAAAATCATGAAAAGCACAGTAAGATTCTAGTGAGGGACGTAATGGACGCAGGGAGAGGCCTTTAGAGGGAAATCATCATTTATGACTCATGTTTCCATCTTCTCATCTGAGACATTTACCTAGGTAAAATCAGCTTTGGAAAGACCACCAGTGGCAACCTCAAAGGGAAAATATATCACAACAGAAGACTAAAGGGTGTGAGTATAAGGGAGCAGGTTGGGGCCTTTGCTTAGGTGGTGGTATTAGTAGTGGTATGAATGAGGTAACTATCTGAATCAGATCTTACTTTGTTTTTGACATTTTTCTTTTAATCTTCCTACATTCCCAAGCCACCATTAGGAGGAACCACCAAAGAATAGAGACTAGGGTAATTTCATGGATTAATCTAATTCTGTAGGGGTCTCTGTACCTCAAACAACTAGAGCAGATTGTTAATATTACAAAGCATTATCTTTCAGATGTCAAATTATTGATTTACTAGATTAAGTTGGTCAAAGAATCATTAATTAAGCCAATACTGATAACTTGGGTAAACTAAACTTGTGCTTGGTTTAACAGATTAATGTCAAAGTGAAAGAGCTAATACTCTTTCCACCAAGACATTAATTTTAAGAATAAATTAAGAATTTTTTGAGTTGTACCAACTCCTTTAGAATACTACACTGTGATTATGACTTCAATTTATTTCCATTTCCCCTGCTTCTAAAACATGTAATGAGGCTCAGACAGAGAATTACAAAATTCTTGTCATCGTAAAGTTTTATTGTGCTTAAGAGGGTCTAGGATATATGCAAACGAACAGATCTGAACTTTACTACACATCATCTCTCTCAATGCTACAGAAACTTGTCATATTCCAAAGAGCATTATTTGTAGTAAATTCCTGCTTCTACCTTAAAATAGAGTCCCAGAAATATTGAAGATTATTCAGTTTCATTCTCTTCCCGATAATCCAGAAAATGGAAAACTCTGACTGAACAGAAGACTCGAAGTTCCCTTAATTATTCCTCCAACGTGTTTGCTTGTATAATTTCCTTTTCTTCTAAACCAAATTTGTTTGGCAGGATAACATTCTTTGCATCTCTAGTCACATATGTTTTTGTGTGGTTGTCTTTTGCTTCCCAGTTGTAACATCCTCAAGCACAAGTGTTACATTTTCTACCTGGCAGACATAGAGTCAGGTTATACCCTGCACACTCAAGAAATGTTCAGGAATAAGAATAATGAAGTCAGTAGAAGCCAGTGAAATAACACCTCCCAAAGCCTGAGAAAATATATTTCGATGTTTTTCTAGCTACTAAATTAATGTTGGATAAAGCAGTATATCCTGCAGCAGGAGTCTCAGAAACAATTTGTCTTTGAATTAACTGGATGCTGAGATTATGCCTTAAAAACACTTTTACATCCATGGACTGGACATCAAATTATTTCAAATGATTTGCCAAAAGAAATAAAACCACACAGCATTGATCCACGGTATTTCTTTAGAGAAATAAGACTACTGTTTTTCCCTTCCTCATGATGCTTCTCCTAAGTCACCATTCACTACATTCAGCCTGAAGTATCAGGTACACAGGCCAGTATCACGTTACATACACGTCCACAAAACTTCACAAGACAGAGTTGACTGCAAATCAGATGCTTTGGATAAATATCATTGTTGTTGTTTTTAAAGCTCAAGTATTAATGGTTGGCAAAGTTCTATCCTTTCATATGTCCACGGCCAAACTCCAATAAATAGCTTGTGACTGAAAACAGAGGTGTGTACTTGCAGGTTTTGGGTACGTTAACTTCTGCAGTGGAGCTTTCATTTCATGCTGTTGTTATAGTCCACGAAGAGAGACTAACTTAAGAAGTGAAGCTGCTTATTAACGAACTTCTCAGTATTTCAGTAACTTAACCCCCTTAAATCAAGGCCAATATCCCAAATTTTTCCCTCCTCTTTCCTTCCTTCTCTCCTGCCAGTCACAGCTGTTCCAGACCAACTACTATTGAAGGAATACAATATTCAGCAGTGAACAACAAATACAGAATCACTGCTTTCCTGAATGTTATAGTCAACCATGAGAAGACAAACAATGCAAGTTAACACGTTCACAAATAAGACAAATGTGTGCAGAAAATAAAAAGGGTGAGACACACAGTAACCGTGGGGGAGTGTCCCACTCTGTATAGGGGGGCCAAGAGAGCTTTTTGAGGATGTAGGGCGGAGAAATAGTTGGAGATGGAGTTAGAAACAGGAATGTGAGAAAGAGACAGTGAGGCATCACTTACGCTCTTCAGCTTCTGCAACCGGGTTCCCATTCCTTCCAAAAGCGGTATTTCAGAAGAACACCAATGACCACAATTAATTGCAAAAAAAACTGAAACATTTAATCCAGTTTTTTACATTTACTTGACAATTATCCAAGATATGTTCATTGACCATCTACTATGTGCTATAGAACATTCTCTAGGAGGCAACCTATTTCATATTTGTATGGTTGTAATTTTTAGAGGTGTTTTAAAGTCAAATTCTGCCTTCCTCTAACTCCCCAGTTCCTCCCTCCAGAACCAGATAGCGTAAGGTCTATTCCCTGAAATAGCCTTTCAGATATTTAAAGAACTATGTTATGTCCACTTTTTTCTTTACTAGGTGAATCATCTTCAGTTCCTTTAATTATTTTGCCTATGACATGTTTCCAAATCCTCATTCATTTTGTTAGCTCTTCTCTAGATATGCCATAATTCTGGCAATGACCCAAGGAATGGTTGGTGCTCAGAATTAAATATATTACTCTATGTGTTCTCTGACCAAGGCAGAGGAGGCCAGCACCTCCCCATGTCCTCTACCCTCTTTAATGTAGCCTAAGAATTAAGTGCCTGTTTAGAGCATGAACAGACTATTCTCACTAGGACACCCACAATCTGCTTTTCAGTGAAGAAACGGCATTCAGTGGGCTATGAGCTGACCTCGAGTCAACGGTGTGGTATATGTCTCCTTTTCCCAACATGTGCCTCTGTGCTCTAAAAACAGAAACTTCCTGTTGTCTAGAAACTGTAACCAGCTGTCATCAAGGTAGAGATAATCCATGTAGCTGCTGTGGAAAAAATTTCCAGTTGTATCTCTTTCAGACACAAGTCAGTGGGTACTTAGCCAAATTAGGAGAGAAACTTCTATTCAATTTGATTTGTTGTCAAAACCCTAATATGGCCAAGCCACATGGTGTCATTAGGAAATCTGAAAGATGCTCTTTATTTATTCCCCAAAGCTACTGAGTCCCTGGGCAGTGAGTCACTTTGATCACATGGTGTCTGGGGGAGAGATAAACAGGGCTTTTAGGGGGTCTTTCTCTCCAGGAAGCCTCGGAATTGGAATCCTCTGAACAGGAGCCTATACTAACTTTCTTTCCTAACATCTGGGGAAGATAGTTCCAACCCTCTGCTTTCTTCAGGTGCTCTATATTGGACAATACAGAACCCAGCACAAACGGAATGGTGAAGGGGTGCCAGTTACCGGGCACTTTATAGACTGGGAAGATATAAAGAGCAGCAAAAAGGGTGCCCCCTCTAGAGCCACACAGGCTCTGTTTTCCTAATCTGAAGCATTTGGAAGAAAACCAAAAACATTCGGTAAAATACCCAGATGCTTCCAAAGAGTGGATATTTGGCTCAGCAAATACAGCGTTGCTTGAATGTTCTGCTTGTCAATGAGTTGTGGCATCACATAGACAGCCGTAATAAATTAAAGGCGAGGCTAGGAATAGAACTGAGACTTCCTGATTCATAATCCAAGGTTCTGGCTCCTATACTGTCTTTGATTCCATAGGCATCTTACTGGCTATTCTGGGCGGGTAATGCTCCTTGCTCCCCTGTGAAAGAAAGGGACCTTTTAGCAAAAGACTTGGCTCAACTTCCTTCTGAATTATTTGATCTGCAGCCAGCTGGACTAGTATGAAATCTCATATTAGTGTTATACATTTTATTTGACAATAAATTCCTCATTCTAGACTTTCCCTTCTTAAAATAATATCCCGCCTAAAGAACCAGAACTTTATTTACTCTTTTTTTCCCTTCACAGTCAAGATTTTCATCTGAATTGACAGTCAGAATACAGAGATAATATAAGTATCCTATGGCAGAATTTCTAGGCAAGTTAAATAAAGTCAGCCTTCATTT